CCATTATACCATCCGCACATCTAAGTTTATAGCACCTGCTATTCCCAAGCGTTCATCCATTTAGGTATTGTCAAGTTTCGACGTTGCTTAACTTTGGTGATCCTACGAGAACTGGTGTTTCAACGTTATATAGTTGTAAATCTGGAGTGAGTTTAGGCTACGAAACATCAGGATTGGATGGAGAAAAGATACACAGTGGTAGCATCAGCATCATCTGGCTAGAACTATTAAATCTCATTCTTTTCAAAAGCAAGTATCTTCTCTTCCGTTTAATAGGTGGGGTCACATACCCTGACGAGAAACGCTCCTCTCCACTCAGTCAGTAAGTACACTTTGTTCAGAAACCTAAAAATTTGGATTTAGGCTCATTTAATAACGAGTGTCATACCTTTTCTCACAGCCAGACTCTTATTAATTTATGGGACAAAGGTTTCAGATAATTTAATTTACGTTCTCTATTGTTTTATTAAAAATATTTTCGGTGAAATAAAAAACACCTTTATATATATATATATATATATATATATATATATATATATATATATATATATATATATATATATATATATATATATATATATATATATATATATTGTCTTGCAAGAGGGAACGCCTGTCAGTACCTCCCCTCGTTGGTTTCGTCTCTTTTAATCAAGGGAGCTAATATTCTGTATCTATTGTTTGGTCTTTCTTAAGATAAACAGTCATTAAAATGCCACCTTGATAAACTTTCATGTTTTTTTTTTTGAGTCTTGAATGTGTTCTTCCTTGGAGAACCCAAATATAGCCATTGTATGGACTGTTGTCTGAATTCAGGATCTTCGTGGTGTAACAATGTCTCGTCGATTCACCAATCGTCCTAAGAAAATGCTGCACAGCCATCTTGGAATTTTCTACCCAATATCGTTTCTGGTCGCCATTCAGATACGCGGTGTCCCAGAATGAACTATTTAAGTGTAAACAGACAATTTAAAAAAAAAACAAAAAAAAAAAAAACTTAATTTTATTTCTGTTCATCGTGTTTAATATGAGTTAGAAGTGCATAGATTGTGTTTATAACTATAATTTCTCAATTTTTTCTAATTTTCATTCCCTTTCAGAACCCTATTAATAATTAATACACAAAAACGCATCTTTATTAACCCAACTGGATTTCTATGCATGGGGCTTCATAAAAACAAAGGTTTATTGCCAAAAGATCAATAGTTCAGTTGAGCTTAAAAAAACGTATTCAGATAGCACTGAAGGAAAGAACGCTTGAAAAGATTCAGGATATGCTTCGCAACGCGTGGAGTAATGGATAGCGGCTCGGATTGAGAGCCGAGTTCGAATTTCAGTTGAATCCATTGCATTCACTTACGTGCTAATACCCTTGGGAAAGGTATGAATCCTCTTCTTCTCCCCTCGGCTATGGGTAAATAGCAGGGCAGACTGGGTTTTATAGCCTTGTATTCCAACTTGTCTACTGCAGAAAGAAATGGTAACCTACTGCGGGAATCACGCATGGCACATAAATGACTAACTGAAGGTTACATTTGAAATTTGCAGGCATAATGATTTTTAATAACGTTTTGACGTTGGATATAAATCTATTTATTTTGTCTCATAATTAAGTAATAAACATTAAATTACATCATTTTTAAAAAATTGTCCCGCGTTTTTGGCTTGCTTTGATTTGTTTTACGGCATATCAACACCTCAAGGGGTTATTTAATGCCGATAAGACTTTTATTGCTGGTAATATATTCTTTTTCAAAAATGTATTTCTGGCAATATTTTTTTCCCCAAAAAGTAATTCTGGTAATAATGTATTGCTGGTAAAATTTTTTCTTCAACACTTTATGCCTGGTAATATTTTTTCTTCAACACTTTATGGCTGGTAATATTCTTTTAACATACCTGTATTGCTGGTATTAAAACACATTTTTACACATTTTGATACAAATTTAACTATTTGCTCATAGCTGGGACCCTAACAGATGCTATCACCCCAGGTCAGGGTGGACTTGAGAACACCAGCAATTAAGAGGTGGTTTCACGCTCCTCAGAACCTTGCTGTCGGATGTAGTCTATCGTCTTACCCAGGACACTTGCCCCACTTCTCCAAAATAGATAGTTAATTCTGGGATACCCTGTTTTGGTGCACCCATGTGCCTGAGAGCTTCTTCATACTCAGTTAAATTATTAACTCAACGCATTCTTTGGATATCTTTCGTGTATCAGAAATAATTTTGATGCGTCGATTAGTTAGATTTAGAAGAGGAACATTATCAACAATTTCAGAAGTTGACAACATCGAATGGTAATTCTAACATCATCTCTTCCTGATCATCGGGTAGAGATCAAAGTGTAGTGTATGTTCTCTTCATCTTGGTAATGGAAATAATAACCATTTTCTTATGAAGAAACATTCGAATTTCATTGACTGAACGGACAGCGCATAATCTATTGACGCATTTTTTGGTTCCTTTGCCAGTGAACTGGGATCAATTCCTAGTATCTGTTGTCCTTATCGCCACCGGAAATGGTATTAGGTTGGTGCAAAAATAATGTCGTTTTTTGATGTTCAACTTAACGTCAAAAACGACATTATTTTTGCACCAACTTAATAATATTAGCCGTTTGCTTATGAGGAAACGTTCAACTTTCATTGACTGTACGGACAGTGTTACTCGATTTACGCATTTCTTGACTCCTTTTCCAGTGAACTGAGATCAAATCCTAGTATCTGTTGTCCTTATCTCCACTTGTAATGGTAATATTAGCCGTTTGCCTATCAGGAAACAAGCGGCATTCATTAAGCGAGAAACCAGTGCTGCTTTCGGTGAAATTTAGACAATTTTTCTATGAAAATGTCTGTTCAGAAAAATAGGTTTCTCATTGCCAGTAGCTGTTATCGCTCTTTCTAGTATGTTTCCTTCCTAACTGATTGAATTAGGGTTTGACACCAACATCTTGATTATGTAATTATTTTCTTTATATGTCTATTTCAGTTGTTGCTGCTGTGGAATGCTCTCTGTTCATGTGGCTTCTGTTATTTGATACATTTCTTTGTGATTGTGTAGCGCCAGCTGACACGGTCCGAAGCGGAATTTTCTTTGCTAAGATGTATAAACTTAATTCGCTCGAAGTTGTTTTTATCCGTTGAATCGAGACAGCAGCTATATGCATTGACTGTTTAGCAATTCCTAAATGTATGTGTCGTCATCGATGGCATCCATATGAAAATCTCCTTCTGTCCAATCATGTGTTTTTAAGTTAATGATTTGTTTTCTCCTACAGTTATCTGAATCTTGAGTTTCTTGGGTTGATTTTGGTGAACCAATGGCGGGCACTTGTCACCCAGTGTTCGAATCAGTCATTCATTGATTTTCATTGGCGTTTTCTAATAGCAGGAATGCATAGCGGACAAGAAGTCCCCACTTAAAAATTTCACTCTTTCTCTTGACTATGTTCAGTCAGATATTTGAAACAATTTAAAAAAATAAACACAAAGAGGCCGCCCATTGACACATTGCAATTAAAAGAACACTTCAACTATCATCACAAAATAATGGCGAGGTTTTGTTTTGTTTTTTTTTTTGGGGGGGGAGACGTTTGAGCGATAACATTTTGATCGCTCCTTATTTATCTACAAAAATATGAAGAGCTTTCTGCTAAGGTAACCATCAATTTATGGACATGAAGTTTTGGTCAGTAAAAGATAATCGACTTAAAATAAAAGTCCTTTTGAAAAGGTCAGGATATATCAAGTCTGAAACATCCATGGGGTAGCAGATTAAGACATAATTTTAGTGAAACTTAAGATCAAATGTTTCCTTTTAGGCATCGCTTTAGAAATAAAGCAAAGTCGAAAATTTGGTTAGAAACAAATAAAAATAATGCCGAACTGCAATGTAATTTTAGTGAAATTTAAGATCAAATATTTCCTTTCAGGCATCGATTTAGATGAAAGAAAAGTCGAAAATTTGGTTAGAAACAAATAGAAATAATGCTGAACTGCTATGTAATTTTAGTGAAATTTAAGATCAAATGTTTCTTTTTAGGCATCGAGGTAGATGAAAAAAAGATTGAATATTTAGTTAGAAACTCTGAAAAGCGTGCTGAATTGCTGTATGTTATGGAATAATTGAAAATTTCCTCACAGATAAGAAAACTGGAGTCAACAGAGATGTGGTTTTACAAAATGAAGCTGACAATATCAAAGACGGAACACGTAAGCTTCGAGGAAATTTCTACAATTGTATTTAACAAAAAGAGACAGTTTAAATTTCTAGAACTCATAATAGCGAATGTGTGTTTGGAGAATTTTGCACCGCATACTGAATGCAAGAGATGGAAACATTGGGGAACCTAACCTAACATCGTTTGTGTAAATTGTTGGCAGAAAAGGCTTGAAGCTACAAAATACAGGATGTTGCGAAGAGCCATGATCGGTCATGTTCTGAAGAGACATCGTATATCAACGAATAAAGAAGAGAAGGGGTGTGAGTTTTGTCTATTCTCAATCCAATGCTTTTTGCCATGAAGCCATTCGTTTCGATGTCTGACAGAATTCTTATGCTGATGGAGGCATTATTTATCTTATGCTACAAATGGAACAGACACTACAAAACAAAATGAACGGAAATAATTATGAGACAAAAGATAATGAAGCAAAATAAAAATAAAAATCGATCAATAAAGTCAAGTGAGACGCGACTGTCTAGCTTGATTGGGATGCAATCATTAAAATGTTTTACGGTATAATTATCGAAAATTCCCGATTTGACTCCAGACAATTGCATTCGAAGTGAAACACTACCAGAAGAGAAGGGAGGAAGAGGATGAGGAAGAGTAGAAAGAGAAAGAAAGAGTAAGAAAGACAAAGAGAGCGAGTTCTGAAAAGGAAAGTATATGCGGTTAATTTAGCGAGAGAGCAAGGAATTAGTATATCGAGAGGGGTATGAGTTCAGACAGGGAGAGAAAGGGGAGAAATGTAGAGAATGTGGGAGAGTGTATCATTTAATGGTGAGTAAAAAGAGATTTGAAGAAGATGGAAAAAAAGATAGAAAAAGAAGAAAAAGAAAGATTTGAAAAAGAAGAAAAAGATAGGAAAAGAAAGATCTGAAAAGAAAAAGATAGAAAAATAAAGGTTTCAAAAGAAGAAAAATAAAGATTTGAAAAAGAAAAAGAAAGATAGAAAAAGAAAAAAGAAGGAAAAGAAAGATTTGAAAAAGATAGAAAAAGAAAAAAAGAAGGAAAAGAAAGATTTGAGAAAGAATTTTTTCATTTTCAAATCTTTCGTTTTCTTCTTTTTCTAAAAGAAGAAAAAGATAGATAAAGATAGAAAAAGAAGAATATGAAAGATCTGAGAAAGAAAAAGAAAGATAGAAAAAGGGGAAAAAGAAAGATTTGAAAAAGAAAAAGATAGAAAAAGACAGAAAAAGAAGAAAAAGAAAGGTTTCAAAAAGAAGAAAAAGATAGATGCGTTAAATGAAGAAAGGGTGATATTATTTAAAATGTAAAAATAACAAAAGGAAAAAAAGTGAGAAAGAGGGAAATGATTTGAGTGAGAGAAAGTATATGTAATATATATAGAGAGGTGTAAAGAGAGATAAACAAAGAGAGAGATAGAGATAGATAGATAGATAGATAGATAGATAGATAGAGAGAGAGAGAGAGAGAGAGAGAGAGAGAGAGAGAAAAGAAAAAAAAAAGACTAATCGGGTGAACTACACATTTTATGAAGGCCGAAAAAGATATCAGATAAAAAGGTTAGATAATTAATTAAAAACTGATTCAGTTGTATATACTTTACTAGTCGGAACAGCAGGTTCAGCTTTTGACCGCTCTAATCTCCGGCCTTTTTAAATTAAATGTATTCAGATTAGTGCGAATAGCAAAGCATATAATAATATTAATTCCTTATTTAAAAAATTCGACCAAAATTTCTATAATAAAGCGCATTTATCAATGTACCTATGCCTCTGTGTGTTCATCTAAACTATAATATTTACATCCTTAAAACCTTATATATATATATATATATATATATATATATATATATATATATATATATATATTTATATGTGTGTGTGTGTGTGTGTGTGTGTGTGTGTGTGTGTGTGTGTGAAAAGTATGTGTATATAAATATAAATAAGTATATATATAATTTTATTTATATATTATATACGGTACTTATTAGAAAGCGCTCAATATCAGAGAAAGAGCTAACATATTTGATTGGATTGATGTGAGTTTGTGACCCTGGGTTTCACGTTTTTGCGATCGTCTGACAATTCGCAAAAGCGTGTAACCCAGGGTCACAAACTCAGATGTATCCAACCAAATGTATATATATATATATATATATATATATATATATATATATATATATATATATGTTTACACAACGAAATCCGAAATTACCTCCTATGGGAATAGATGTATTTTAATCAACAAGAAGTACGTCAGTCTTATTCAACCCCTGGGTATAGACAGTCAATACGTTGGTGTTGAATAAGACTGACGCACATCTCGTTGGTTGAAAAGATCTATACCCATATGAGGTAATTTTGTATTTTGTTGTGTAATTTATATGCTTTGTTTTAATAAAAAAAATATTGAACTCTTTTAGTAAATCAGTTTATTATTTGATATTACTAGGATCCAGTTGGATTATATGCCAACGGATTTATTATCTCTACTATATATATATATATAAAGGCATTTTTATGTTTAAACATTTTTTTTTATAGATACAAATATTTAAGTAAATGCTCTGTTTATGATAAACAGAATTAGCCGGCCTGAATCTCCGAGTAATTGTCATAGAAAATATGCATCCTCCGACAGGAATCGAACCTGTATCCTTTACGGAAAGTGTTTTTACCAATTTCACCACAGAGGAGTGTTTCGATTGGCAGCGTCTATTTTACTGTTTTTAAACTAAAATTTTCCATGATTTTCTCACGTACATTCATGTCTGCTCGATGCGTATCCAAATGTAAATGACGTCACACATTATGAAATGGACAAAGTCCGACAATTATTTTAAGACTTTTAATACATTCTTTTTGTAGATATTTAATTAAGTAAATTTAATTTATGTAAATGCTCTGTTTATAATAAACATAAAAATGTCTTAAAATAATTGTCGGACTCTGTCCATTTCATTATATATATATATATATATATATATATATATATATATATATATATATATATATATATATATATATATATATATATATATATCGTCGATATATTTGCTTACATATATATGTATGTATATGTGTGTGTGTGTGTGCGTCTGTGTGTGTGTGTGTGTGTGTGTGTGTGTTCAAATATAGGTCAAATATGGATCGGAGTTCGACCGAATAAGATATAGAACAGACAGGAAACGTTTATCTGTCTAAAATATTTCACTTTTATTAAAGCTTCATCAAAGAATGAGATATGGAGAAAAATAAAATGAAATTCTGGAAATTTTACATTATCTTTTGAATTCCATTTCGACAAATTAGAATTATTATACCCTTACATAAAGAAATATTTGAAGTTTTTCAATTGGGTTTGGAATATTTTGATTGCGAAATGATGCATCTTCTTTCCTTGAACGCAGAACGCCAAACTTTATACTAACGTTTGTTTAACAAGTCGAATCCAAATGAAACGTGATGAACAAATGTAAACCAAACAACCCAAAAATAAAAATACCAGAACGTCTTCCTCCTTTTTCTCCATGCACTGATGAAGTTTTAATAACAGTGAAACATGTTAGATTGACAAATGTTTCCTATTTAATCATTATTTTATCATATATATATATATATATATCTATATCGTATAGGCAATAAATTCGTTGGTATATAATACATGTGGATCCTGGTAATATAAAATATTAAAACTGATCCACAAAAAGAGGTCAATGTATTTATTATTACAGAGCAAATAATTAGTACACAATAAAATCCAAAATTACCTCATATGGGAAATAGGCTTATTTCAACTGACGAAATTCTTCAGTCTTATTCAACCCCGGTTTGGACTGGGTTCGTCTCAGTCTATACCGGGTTTGAATAAGACAGACGAATTTCGTTGGTTGAAATATAACTATTTCCCATATGAGGAAATTTTGGATTTTATTTTATATATTGGCAGCATATTTTCATTCAAGCAAGTTTAATTAAATAATTTAGACATGTTTATTTATTTTAGATTTAATCCTTTCAGGTCCACGAATTAATTTGTTGGTGGCTGTAGAAAATTGATTAAGAAAAATTTCAAAATTTTCTTTCAAATAATTTTTATTTTCCCAAGTACTTTCAATTGCATCTGAGACTATATTCAGGGATTGCATATCAATGGATATGTTATGCGTTAACACCGTAAATTCAAAATATTTTTTTGCTTCTATGCAAGGGAGGTAACTTATGAGAGCTTTTAAAAATTTTTTTTTAAGTTTTAAATTTTTTTAATTGTAATATTTGAATTTAGGATTTTTATAGTTTAAGCTTTTGTTTATTATTATCTTGATGAGAGCATTGATGTATTTTCGACTAATATTTGTCTAAACCTTGAATGTGGACATGAGTGTTCTTTAAATGTTGAACTATGATAGTTCAAGTGAAACGTAAACCTCCTCGTCATCGTCGTTGTTATAAAACCAGCATTCATATTAATATTTTTATCAGAGATGCAATCTCCCAAAGGAAATTTAAATTGATATATATATATATATATATATATATATATATATATATATATGTGTGTGTGTGTGTGTGTGTGTGTGTGTGTGTGTGTGTGTGTGTGTGTTTGATTTTGACAGCTTTATATTTTGCCAGGCAAGGGATGTGTGTGCTACATGTATGTTATCTTTTAAATTTTGGGTAGTGTGTGTAGTGTATGTATATCTATATATTTGTGAGTGTGTTTATGGGAGACCTCATAACCTCTGTAAGCATGCCTGTCCGGTGTGTCTGAAGGTGGGGGCTTAGGAGAGTTAGCTTGGGCTCGTCATGGGTGGGGGTCATCCATATACTATGTAGTAACAGTGAGTTGTATTTAACTATAGAGAGATTATAACGTGTCAGAGAGAAATATGGTGAGTGGGGGAGTGATCTAAGGGGTTATATTATATTCAAATTCTATTTGTGCTGTTAAGTTTGTTGTTGAATCGGCTTGAACAAAGTGTTTTGAGACGTAAAATCCATATATATATATATATATATATATATATATATATATATATATATATATATATATATATATAAATCAATTAATTTAATCAATTAATTTATAATATTAATGCTCTGTAAATTTACATTGAGCACTATTCTGTAAAAATAAAAATATCTATAAGAACACTTATATATCTGTTTCTTTAATATATATATATATATATATATATATATATATATATATATATATATATATATATATTATCTTCAAGTTTTGGAGTCAGGTTTAAATTAACAGATTTAAAATATGATTTTTACTAATATTCTCTCAAATTGAACACGGGGTGTCTATTTTTATATTACATTTGGTAAGGGGTGAGGATAATGTTTAAATAAACCTGACGTCATTGAATGGATATATATATATATATATTTTATTTAAATACGATTTGATATTTTCCTTTATATTATTTTTTTTTTTATTTAAATATTTTAAAATAATATTTCACGTGATTTTAGGACATGATTTTAATATTTCATAATTTAAAATTTTACTATGATGTTATTTTAGAACTTTTTTAATGCGTTTAATTTAAAAAAATATTTTTTTAAATCAGTTAATTTATAATGCTCTGTAAATCAATAAGAACACTGATTTATTTAAATTTTTTTTATTTAATTTATATTTTATATATATATAAATATTTTAATTATATTTATAATATTAATAACTGATTTAAAATATGATTTTTTCGCTACAAAATATTTTAAATCAGTTAATTTATAATATTAATGCTCTGTAAATTTTTAAATCATTAATTTAAATATTATTTTTAAAAATTTTAAAAATAAAAAATATCAATAAGAACACCGGATTATATATCTTACTATTTTTCTTTCTTTCTTTCTTCATATATATATATATATATATATATATATATATATTATATTTTTTTTGGTTATTACATTAGAAACATGTAAAAAACGCTAAACAAATGCAATGATGTTTCGATTTGTAGTAACACGTCTCAGCATGCGTTAGTAATTAACTGGTTGATAGAGAATTTATTGAGGTTTAAAAATAACACAACCTTTTTTTCACGAGAAAAGGAAGAAAAGAAAGTGAGTAAGAAAGAAAGACACAAGCTATACTCTATTTTCCCGAGAAAAGGAAGAATAAGGGAAAAAAAGTAAGAAAGAAGAGGTTCTGGCACGTTTTGTATGTGATTAATTCTGTTTAGTAGGTCCGTTGTGTCTCTGATGTGAGATTTTACATCCGTAGCCTGGGGGTTGTACGTAATGGTCTACGTATTTGAGAATTTTTGACGTATGGCAGTTAAATGATGAAATGACCCGCCTTTCTGGGTTATTGCTTTTGTGTATTTTGGGAAGGAGACAAAAGCGAGCAGGTGTCATGTTTGTGGGTGTAAGTGTTGTGCATGTTTCCTTGTTAATTGGTTTGTTGTGAAGCATCATGTTTAGTGAGGTTGTTAATTGTTAATGGGACAGTGAGGAGAACCTCACTGTATTCCCTATAACCCTAAACACGGTACGCGACTCGATTAAGTTCGACCACGAAAAATTAACAAAATCGGTAACATTTTTAGACACCCGCATTTACATCAATAAAAACAGAAAGCTACAAACGACACTACACTCTAAAACCACCGACACCCACAACTATCTACACTTTAAGTCTTCCCACCCTAAAGACATCAAGGAGAACCATCCCTATTCATAAGCACTTAAACTCAAAAGGATATGTTCGAACAATAAAGAATTAAATAAACACTCAATATTTTGAGCATCAATTCACAACACGTGGCTATAAACCACACCTAATCTGGGAACAATTAAATAAAGAAGAATAGAGAAGACACCCTGATGTAAAAATTAAAAATAAATCCAGACGCATCCCTCACGCAACCACTTTCAACCACACTCTTTTTCAACTATCCCAGATAATCAAAAGTCACCTTGAAATACTACATCTCAAGCCAGACCTAAAAATTTTGATTGAGGAACCCGGCCTTCTAGCATATCATAGACCTAAGCCCCTTAAGGAAATTATAGATAATAACCACATTTCGGAGGATAAGGTAATCCGTAATAGACCAAAAATATAACCAGGATTTTCCCAACTATGTAAAAACAAAAGGAGCTTATGTTGTAACCACATTAGAGACACCAATTCGTTTACTAGCTCAGTCACTAAAACTATTTTCAAAATCTACCACATCTTTAACTGTAGAAGTCATAACATAATTTGCCTCTTAGAATGCACACTATGCGAGAAACAATATGTGGGAGAATCTCTATGGCCCTTTCACTGCAGAGTTAATAATTATCGTAATCGGATCAAGGTGGCTCATCACGAAAAGATTATTACCTGTAGAACAACATTTCCAACTAGAAAAATATGATATTAAAATCCATGCCAAATTCACTATAATTAAAAAAATAGAAATAAACAGAAAAATGACGTTAGAAAAATATTAGAAGAACATGAAGACAAATGGATTTTGCGCCTCAAAACAGTTCATCCAAACGGGCTTAACCTCAAATTTAACAACATGGATAGAATTAATATATAACCCCATGAATCAAGCCCTACCAACATTTCTCACTCACACAAGACAGACATGCTTGCGGAAGTGTTGAGGCCTCACATTTATACACACACTCATACTAATATATACACTTACATACATCATAAACACTCCCAAAGAACAAAAGATAATGTACACTTAACACACACTCACGCATCACAATCCCAGCAACCAATAAAACTGTCAAAATGAGCAAGGTAATTCTGAGTCACATGAATTTCTCCAGCCGCATCTTAAAAAAAAAACAAAACAAAAAAAGAACTTAAAAGAGGCCATTTGACCAACACAAGGTCTGACCAAAACTAACGATAAAAACAAATGAAAATTATATATGTATATATGTGTGTGTGTGATGTGGTCGTGTGTGTGTGTGTTTTGTGCGTGATATTTGCAGCTGTGCCTGCCTCCTTCCAGCTGATCTGGCCAGCCATATGCGAAATCAATACAACAAGAGATCCAACTGAACTGCACGCAAGAAATCTGTCTACATTTTGTAATAAAGTATCAAGATATAGGCCTGGGTTATCTAGACATAACTGAACTTACAGAATCTGCGTACAATCCAATAATCAATCAAAACGAGTATTTACATTGGCTTTGTAGATAAAGAGTGTAAATCTATGGCAAGATCTAAAGTTCATTGTAGATTACACAATTTATCGGCCATTTGCACATATTTCACTGATTTGGTTTATTAAACGTTTTTCTTCTATAATTTATTTTTAATTTGGTACTATAATATTTTAGGTTGCTATAATATTTCATTTTGTACACAAAACAATTGTATATAATTGTACGAAATTGTATATAATTGTACATAAAGCATTTGTATATAATTGTACATAATTGTCTATAATGGTACATAATTGTACATAACTTATACAAAATTGTATATAATTGTACATAAAACATTTGTACATAATTGTAATCAAATGGTTAGCAAGAGGAACATAAAATATGCGAACAAGGGACTGGAGATGGCAAAATCATGCAAAAAGCGAAATTTAAATATCTAGGATGTGCTTTAGCAGATGACGAGGTCCCAAAGTGCATTGGAATAGCGAAATATGCCTTTCAAAAGCTAAACAAAGTATTAAGAAACAGGAGAATTTCGTTAGAAACAATGAAAAGTTATGTAATATCTGTCTTGCCATATGGCGCTGGTGGAATTAATGAAATAGTGGAGAGCCGGGTTCGAATACCAGTCCTCCAGACGACTTCGGAATCTCCTGTAACTCTTGCCTCCAGTTCATCATTGATGTCACAGCTCCCTCGCTCAACTCTTCCCCAAACATAATAATCAAGTGGGCTTCAGTCTGGGGAGTTTGGTTAATTGTGAAAAGCAACGCCCAAGTATACAGAGTGCGATGGATAAATTGTCGTCTAAACGACGCAAACATGAAAAGGACAACATCAAGATGAGAAAAATAGAAACTGACTTTCGATAACACAATTATGTTCAACAATTTTTCGATCAATCAGGTAACTTCTAGATGATATCGGGCCACGTTATATGATCCAGACGGCTATTTTTTGCACATGGAATTATTTACTGGTAATTAATCTTCGATTGGGCTGTGAAAAATATCACTCGGGGGTTAGCATTAAAAATTATGGCCAATTTTCTGAGAAAAATTACTTATTTTATGAAAAAATATTTTTTTTCACTTCAAAACAAATTTTTTTCAAACTTCAATCCTTTCTCTTTAAGTTGCTATGAACATCATTGAATAAAAGGAACGGCTATATGACCCGACGATGGGAAATACGAAAGATATCCAACGAACAAAACAATGTCGTCTGCTAAGTTTTGTTGTCATCATCCGGGTCGCGAGGTGTTAAAAAACGAAACAAAACACATCAAGACATTGTTCAACATAGGTTTGAAAAAGATTAACCGATATCAAGCCCTTTTTAGCAATGTTATCCATTTTTTAACTCTTTGCTCTTATCTTGTAAGTGGTGGGATTTATTACAAACTCATGACAGCTTGTTCTAACAATTTTCATTGGCTGGCTGGCTGGCCTTTGACCCAGATATGTCAAAATCAATTTGGCTTAATTTTCCATATCGCTACTATTTTTGAAAAAGAAAACCGCAAAAAACTCCTGGTTTTCGCCTTTTACTAAAGATTTCCGAGGCCGGTTATCAATTTTTTTAACCTCTTGCGGCCATGTAAATGAAAATTACCAATGGACTTTGTCGCATTTTGACCTCCTAGGAATGTTGTTTTCCTTCAAACTCTCAATTTTATGCCTGAAATAGTTTGATTACGATTTAGGCTTTCTGATTTTCCAAAAAATAAATGGTTAATTTCCCATTATTGAGGAAAAGTTTTTGTTTAGAACTACAAAAAAACGCTAATTTTTCACTATTTTTTTACATTTTATCCACTGAAAAAAAATTGAGTCATTTACACCAGCGAATTTTACTTTTAAATGAAAGAATATATCCTTTGCTTTCAGAAAATACCTAGTTTCATGGGGTTCAGATCAAAAGTTTGTTTGATATTTTGTTCAGATGATGACAAAACAATCATTTTTCAATACCCCACCCCACCCCACCATAAAAGTATGAAAATCCTTTTTTTGTCAGAGAAAATAAGCTGTGACAGAATGACTTTTGCCATTTTTCTGATGATTTTTACTTGGGATAGAAACTTTTTACCATAGCAAAGCTAAAGAATGAGAGAATAAGAGAGAGAAAGGGAGAAATAGAGACAATGCGAGAAAACGGGAGAGTGAGAGAGAGAGATAGTGAAATGTAAAGAGTGAAAGTAGAGAGAGATAGGGAAAGAGTGAAACAAAGAATCAGAGAATAAGAGGGAGAAAAGGAGAAAGAGAGAGAGCAGGAGAGAGATAGTGAAATGTAATGAGTGAAAAGAGAGAGGAGAGAGAGATGAAAATAGATAGAGAAAGAGTGAAATAAAGAATGAGAGAATAAGAGGGAAAAAGAGAGACAATGGAAGATAACGGGAGAGAGAGAGAGAGAGAGATGAAATATAAAGAGTGAAAGAAGAGAGAGGAGTGAGACACGAACAGAAGGAGATTTTAAGAAAATAATAAAAGTAAAAACTTCTAGAAAAATAACTATAACCAAATGATCTTTGGCAAATTAATTTGTTTTGTTTTTACGTTTCGTTGATGAAGATGAGATCTTAATTATTGATAGGTCAGATCAAATGAAATGTCCGAGTTGCATTAATTGATTGATGAATGACTCTTGTAATTAATGACTGTCCATTCACCTTAACTTTCGCTTCACCTTTGACCTAATTTTTTTGGATGAGCTTCCTTTCACGATCGTCATGTCGTCTCACGGAAAGATACGTAATATTTATTTACATTTATTAGGCCCGTCTAAATTGAATTCTAAATTTCGCCCCTCTCGACGTTCATGAAGGGTTATATATATATATATATATATATATATATATATATATATATATATATATATATATATATATATATATATATATATATATATATATATATAAATAATTGCTTTCAAATCTATATACATCCAGGTAATATATTGCTTTCAAATCTAAATAAATCTCTCCTCGCCTGTAATTTACAATCACCTGATGAGATACATTGATACGCATAGAAACATGACTGCAATTGTGTAGCGATTTTGACATATTTTCGGTATAATATCCTAAAATAAATAAATAAATATATATATATATATATGTGTGTGTGTCCATGTGTTTGTGTGTATTTCCGTGCGTGTGTGTGTGTGTTGGTCTGTGTGTGTTTGTGTGTGTATAATCAATTACTAAAGCAAGAATAAAATTACCTTAACAGGAAAGGACACAAAATACTCCACATTCTTTAATAGAAATATATTTAACCGCCTTACTGCGTGAAATATTTGGTCACAACATAGTAGTGTCTTTGGGATATTTGTGGGTTGTAAACGTCTATTGTATGTAAAGCTCTAGCAGAGACAGGTGGCCTCACCTGGTGGGTAATTATTGTACTACAGCTAGAGAACAATAGAAATAATATAATTTAAAAAAAAAAAAACAAAATGGGAAAATAACGGAGAGCCTGTGAAAAGCTGCAAGTACAAAATGGAAGTGAAAGAAACAAAAAGAAAAGACCTTAAGTTGCCCCCCCCCCACAAAAAAAAGAAAAGAAAAAAAGAATCCCAAGAATGATTAGAGGGGTGGGAGAATTTAGAATCAAAAGGAAGAGGTAAAGACAACAAGGGGAGGATGACAGCAGAGGAGAAAGTGTTAACATGAAAATGACTGACGAGAAAGTCTCAACGAGTGAACGGGGAAAAAGTCAAAAATATAAAATGGCGGTTTGCACGCAAGGTCCAAAGATTAATCGTAAGACGATTCGTTGAAGATATCGAAAACTAAAATCGATTTTCGTTAAAAGTGAAAAGCAGTCAAAATAAAATCTTAAGTGCTTCGGAATATTACTAATTAAAGACTCTAATTGTTGCTATAATTAAATTATAATTAAAGACAAGTAATTGCGCTGGACAACGGCTCAAATCATATAAACCAATGAAAAATGAGAACACTTCTGTGTTGGAATTGGAGCAGCAAGGCATTACGAAAACCTCGATTCTTTAAGCAACAATTATGAAAATGAAAATAATGTAAATAAAATCAACCGTAGAGTGAATTATCTGGATATGACTGACCAGAGGACATCTGAAAAGAGAAAGTGAATCGTCCGTAACTGTAGCTTCAAACCATTATATTATTTTAAATTACGTTAAAAAGCAAATGTTTGTTAGACGATTACAAGATAGAGAAAGGATTATGAAGTTGCGCAGGTCGATTTTGGAATTGCACTCAATTTGAAAGGTGGGGTTAGACATGATAAATGACGTCACAAATTTTTTGTTTTTTTTTTGTTTTCAAATTGTTACCGTTTTTTGAAGAGACGAGTTTAATAATTAAGTTTAGGTTCAAAATCGTAGAATTAAAATTTCATTTCGATGATCAGTGAAAGACTTGTAGCCTTTCAAAAATTTCTATTTTATTGAAGCTTTACAAATTGTATGTGGATAATATGCAAAGCACAAGCACATTATTACTTTACTAAATCATTGTGCCATCAAATAAGACTTTCACTTTCTGAAAGGAAAATGATACTGAACAATTTAGCTATATTATGATGGAATATGTCATACACTGCAGTAGTTTTAGTGTGATTTTCAATAAAGCAAATTTAAAACATTTCGTTTTATAATTTGCGCCCAGCAGTATTATGGTGTTATATAGATTTTTATCTATTTTTTCGTTTTTATTAATAATGATCTAACAACTGATGAAACAAATCTTATTCATTGAATAGCGTTTTTTATAATCTTTTACAATTTTAAAAACAGTTTTTAATCATCGAAAACAGTCAACCAATTGCATTTTTTGCTTGTGATGATTCATAATGAGTATTACGGTTTGAATATAATTTTCATTCAATGTTTCTAATGCAAAAATATCAAATTTATTTATATTTATTCTTGAAATATTAAAAATTTGAAGTCAGTTTGTAAACAGAATCCTGCGCAAATTAGGTATTCTTTTCAGATGATCTTCAAAACTAAATGCTCAAAATTTGATAAAATCTATGAATCTAACCTTTGGTGTTAGTGCTTATCACATCAAATCCCAGTTTTGCATTGTAATTTTGGTGTTTAAAGACATAAAACTCCCGACGATCCCGTTTATAAAACATTGTGTTGATAGAAAAATAAATAAATAATAACAAGGAAACCAAAATCCTCGTGTTTCAACCAATCAGTCAGTAACCGTTCCGACCAGGATACGAACCTCATAGTCTAACGAGCAAATCTGAAGCGAGAGTTGCACGCACCCAGGCCATAAGGTTACAAAGAACGAAAGAATTATAGACCACAGGAATAACAAAGTCAGCGATAAGAATGTGGTAGGTTTGAAGACATTTTATATCACTTGTTATACAGCAATAACAAATATAAATTGATGTAGGAAACTCATATATTAATAATAATAATAATAATAATAATAATAATAATAATAATAATATCAACAAAATAAATAACTCTTCCAATATTTTTCCAAAAACGAAAAAAAAAAAAGCGCGATTTAAGAAAAGAAAAGTAAAAGAAAAGACAGTGTTTAACAATGCTTTACAATATTTTGACAGTATGCCTTCTTCAAGTATAAAAATATAAAACATTACAAGTCTTTTTTCTATAAACGTCGCTTGTTTTGGGAAAACGGTTGTAGTAGTAATCAATGCGTCAAAACGAAAGAAACAGATTCAATGTGAGTGACCTGCAACTGAACCGTAAATAATATGACGGTGAAAATTTCTCATCTTAAAATTTTCCGTTAATTAATTCGTTAATAAGAAGAATTAATGAAACAGTTTAGTATAAATACTATGGAACTTTCCCGCAATTTTGTTCATTTCCCCGAAGCGGTACGTTAGTAATTGGCGTATATTATTATCCTCATGCATGTTAAAGACCGAAAGTTCGGGGGATTCTGGATATTTTTTCAGAATATGCACCTTAAGATGTTCGTCGAAATTACAGTCGTTTGCGATAAAATGATCCGCCAGTTCTATTGAAGCTACATGATCGTGTCAGACATCATATCTGTAGTCATTAAATTTCTTTGATTTTTCACTTGTGTAACTTACATAAATTAAGTTCTGTTTAGTATACTGACCAGCGTATATCATATGGGAATCAGTACAACTGCTACATTTAGAAGAAATCTTAATGTTTCGTTTTGAATCTGTGATAGAATTAATCTCTGTTGCACAGGGTTTTTTTTGGATGAGGCAAGTCAATCGAAATTTACTACTTTGATGTTGTCTATGATACAAGAGTGAATTCCAAAGAAACTGAAAAGACACAAAGATTCCAGGATCTGGTTCGGTAGCTGAAGAAGCAAAAGAACATGAATGTGGAACCAATTCCTGTAGTCTTGTGGGCGTTAGAAAAACCACCTAGAAAAAAAGAGCTTAGACTTCGGAAAAGTTCTATCATTTACAGAGAAGGATTCTCCGAAAAGTTCTTGAGTCATGAGGAGTCTGCTTAACATGATGTCTCAAGAACACAACTTCTGCTGACTACGTCAATGGCGACACCATAATAATAACACGAGGATATATTTACACTACATTGTTCGAACTGTTCTCCTCATCTTTATTGCCACGTTCACGACGTTTCGATCGTTGTACTCTCTAGCCTTCTTCACGTTGGAATTCCGAACCGAATCCTTTATTTTGCCCACCGAGGTAGATTGTTCTAGTTCCACGTGCCATGCCTTTTTCTGGATATTTCAGTTATTTCCATTTAGTAACTCACTGATGTGGCCAGGTATTGAACTCATAATTCTTGGGGTCAAGTCACTTGATTTCTTCAACCAACGCTTTTAGCCACAGCGCCATAGCCAGTTTCAATCGCATCTTGTTTTTATCTCCTTTCAATCGTGACTGTTTTTTCCCAATCCACAATTTATCCTCCCCTTCCCCCACCTTTAGTGAGTGAACGGCTTGATTTTGTCTGTCGACTGAATACAGTGGCCACTCTTATTTTTCTGTGGGTTGGACGGGTTCTACTAAGATATTGTTTGTTTTAGTTTGGATATTTGGTTGTTTTTTTTTTGTTTTGTTTTCATGATCGGGATGACTGAATCTTACCCACCAACCCCATTTCATGAAACATAATTTTTATATTTTTGTAAAAAAGAATGATAAAAATAATAACAGAAAAAGAAAAAAAATTAAATATTCATATATTTTGAGATCATGGGGTTTTAGAATTTTAGCATATTTTTATCCATGGACATTTATTTAAAACGTGAAGAAAAGAAGCATAAAGTGGAAATATTGTTTACAATTGTCAAACATTGTGATTTTCCTATTCATAATATTTCTTGAATCGTACTCTTAACTGTTGAAAAATATTGGAAGAGTTACGTCATTATTATTATTATTATTATTATTATTATCATCATTCGATTTCTGCTATTACCTACCAAGTCTGCGGAAAGACCTAAGGCAGGTCGTGGTGTTATTTTCATGTTAAATTTTTTTTTTTTTTTATCTCCGATGAAGTTAACATAGACAAAGTTCTCCTAGTGTATTATGTAATAATTAATTTTCTGTATGTCTCTTAAGCTGGGGTTTCAGGGATTCTTTCAATGTGTTTTTGTTTTGTTTTTTTATAATTCCAAGTTATTATTCTTGATTTCAATTTCCACATTTTTTCTATTTCAATTTCCAGGTCTTTGTATTTTGATAGTTTTTCAAATTCCTTATTGCTATGTTAAATCCGCTGGACAA